TGGACTAGAGATCACCAGAGGTTCCTCTGAACCAGCACTTCTATTATTTTGCTTCCAAATATAAGGCAGGTATTAAGAAGGTAGTAAAAAGGTATCCTGTACATTAGTTAACAGAAAGCGGAAAGAATATCCTCAGCCTGGTTATCACAGGCAAGGTCACTCCATTCCTTGGTGTTTTGTTACCTGAAATGGGGCTGCTGCATGATTTGAGATGGTTTTCTCTATGTATGAAGACAAACCATCTCCGAAATAGTTCCCGCTGATATTAATACCAAGTAATTCTTGTTTCCCACTGTCCCATTTTCCAATACACCACATTTTTGCACTGACAACTGGTAATTGCACAGCAGGATCTCCAACATTTTGGCAATAGATCACAAAAACTCTTCAGGATGTAGGAGGAAACATGGGATTACACAAGAAATGGGAACACACTAGCCAGTTAACATGATCAGAAAATTAGCGTTCAAAAAGTCATTTACAGGTTTCAGTGTTAGTGTATTAAGAGGGAGACAATTCAAGAAGTTTGGAACTGTTGTTTTATACGGCTGGAAAACTCCACCGTGCCACCACCTCCTCTTGTTTGTATATTTATCTTGCTCGTGAGTTACTTCTACCTTTAAACTGTGGAGCATATTTCTACAAAACTATACCAGAAGTAAAACAGTGTCTGGTCTGTAACACACATTGGCCTGTCACAAGTGGTTTCCAAAAGTCAGGATTTTCAGCAGTCCTTCTGGAAATCTCACCTACTCTTGGTTTTACACAGCACGTGTCAAATCTCACCTGTTCCCTGACCATGTATGGCCACACTTTCAATGCTGACATTTCTGCAAAGGTTCTGCCTGCAGCAATACCAGAATCCAGATGTCGGCAAATAACAGACAGACAACTGTAGAAATAACATTTTTGGTTTAGTGTTTGCAATTTGTTTTACAGCTCATAATGAAATACTGTTAGAGAGATTCTACATTCATACATTTCTAGCAAAATACATTTTTAAAAACATAAGGCACTTGAAGACTTCCTAAAACAAACGCTCATGATAAAAATTCAGCAAGAGGGCTGGATGAGAACTTTTTCTATCCTTAATGTCCAGGTCAGTGAAAGATCAATTCTCTAGTCAGGCAGGCAAATGAAATAATCAATAGAAAGGTTTCCAAGATAGTTAATGCTGTATTAGAGTGCATGTATTAGAGTGCATTCTGAAGTGGTCTATTTGAAGTACCTTCAGCTGGGGACGGAGGGCATGGTGTGAGTAAGATGCATTAAAATATTTCTTTGAACTGCGTAACAAAGACACATTGCAGGGATTAAGTTTCATTACTTTCATTGGATTAAATTCTTTCCATTCATTATTGCCAACAAGAGCAAGGAACAAAAAGGAGATGGCTTCCTCCTCCCTTCCCCCTACTCTCATTATAATTTAACACAAGATTTCAAAGACTTAAAATGACCAGGACAGAAGCCTGTGAAAAACTGCATCTGGCCACTTCAGAGTGTGTTTAAATATTCATCATTGACTTCCTCAAGTCTCACCTCTTAAAGAAAGAGAAACATAAAAAGAATTGGCAACTGTGTAAGTCGCTTCCACTCAAATTGATATTTTGCCTCTTCAACACGACCCCACTGTTCACATTAAGTACCTGCATTCAGAAATGCTCCAGCAGCTCCCCTTTGGCAGCGAGGTGCGGGAAGCGGAGGATGAATGCAGGCACGGCCCGCGGGGAAGAGGGAATGAGCGACTTCGCTTCACACACTTGCGTCTCCGCTTCAGAACAGTTTCAAAAGCCAGACATGCTGGGCCGCTGTAGCAACAGGGGCACTGATACCAAAACACTGACTGAAGTCTTCGCTCGGAGATGCATCTGTGGGAACTGAAATCCGCTATTTAAAACTGACAAAAAGAGCTATAATGGTGGCAAAAACCACCGCCTGCTTCCCAGGGCCCCTGAGAAGTGGATGGTAGGAAGTAGTCCCACCACCCATCAGTGTATTTTCAAGTCGTGTCCCACCTATTTTACTGTCCAGTATATTTTTCAATCTTTGAGGGCTAACAATTGCTGAAAAACTTGACTCCTGTGGGCTCAGTCCATTAGGCACTACGGTACAAACCTGCATCCCTAGTCCTCTCAAATCCACCTCTGAGGGAAAAGAAAAATCACCCCAACCAACCAATCCACCAACAACTTGGTTTTCTTACAAGCCCTTGATTGCTGTAAATTTTGACTTACTTGAATTGCACTTTAAAGCCCAGCAGCAAAAAGAAAACTTGGTAGCTATACTCGGGAATATATATACATTTCTAAGAGGCAAGACATTTTATCAAGTCTAAAAATGCATAGAGATGTCAACTGCATAAGCTGTCAAGCTTTGACCTGACCACAGCGAAGAAAGATCAGCCTATCAGCCCTCTTAGAACTGGGGCAGAAATGGGATGCCTGCCCAGTTCGGAAAGAAAATGCAATTAAGGATTGAGCTGAATTAGAACCAGCCACCACTGGCCTTAACCAGTGGTGCTACTGCACAAACAGGAGCCATAGTGAAATCTAACTTTGTGAAGTGAAAAAGTGCATGTCTTCAAGACAGCTGTGGCTAAAGGGAAGAAAGGAAGGTGGTACCTGACAGCCCTGAGCTCAACAGATCTTGAGATCTCAACTTGTGCGGCTCACTTTTCACTGGCAGAAAAGCCAAGCTCTTGCTTACTAGTGTTACATCCACAGCCAATTGAAAATGTTGGCTCTGCAATCAGTTGACTGCCCTTGAGCGCTGGTATGAGGATATTCACTCAGGACAGAAGGAAGCATGTGAAAGAGGAGATGAAGAACAAAACGCAGGACACTCGCTGATCTCAACTGAACTAATAGCATGTAATCAGGTTCTCTCAAAATCTGTAGGTTCTCCTTCCCAAGCAAACCTCATAGAATTTGCTAAAGTGACATCCAGTTGTTTTGTACGTATACTTTACTGTTTCTTAAAAATATACCTAAAAAAAAGTATTTGGAAAGACACAGAGGACATGCGGTTTAGTTCCTCGTAGATCTGGGCATGTGGGGAATCTTCAGACTAAGCTGCAGTGATTAATAGTGGACAGGGTGCTATTTTACAACCAGATCATTTCTTTCAAATTCCAGTTCAAAGAAAACTAGAGAAATGAGGACTGCTGCCAAGGCAACGCAAAGCAACAAGTTCAACATGCACACCAAGACAGACTGAAGTGTACAAAGTTTCACAGACCTTATTCTTCAGGTCACGCTAAAGTAAAAATGGTAGTCTAATTAAAAAAAACAAAATCACTAAAGCTAGCTACAAAGACTAGAATTATCAAAGTGCTTTAATGTATAAAGTGTCAAATATAATTAAACAGAACGATCAAAACAGAGCTGCCATAAGATGTTAAAATAGGTACATGTGTTTTTTGACTGCAGGAGAGGAGCAGAGGTTTATAATTTCCCCTTTAAGGCCAAAGCATGTTAAGAAAAGTTTTTCTTGTTCATTTAGCTTCTTAAGACAATATATTTGCTCTGCTCATGCATTCAAAGACACAGTTGTATTTGCTCTGTCTGAAACTGCATTGAAAGGACTGTCTGCCCTGAAATGTTAATAGTGGGGCAAAACACACAACAGCCCCATAAAGTAGATTTATAGATATCTGTCAATTTGAAATAATTTTTATAAGCTACTTCTTGATACTTAAAAATTCTGAGCTATTTTCTGCAGATTTTCTTTAAGTTGGTTTAAGTTAACTGAATGTGTTATTTGAACAATCTAACAGACTGCCAAAGCTATTACAACGAGAGAAGATGCAGAGAAATAAGGAACAGGTTTAAAAACCATCTCGTGCAAGATGCTCGATGCACCTTAGCCTCTCTACTGGCTTTTCTTCATGTTATGAGTAAGGAAAAAACAAAACAAAACAAACAAAATTCTCCACCACACTTCTCTCAGTACTTCCAATTCATTAAGCTGCTGCCTACTTTAAGCAGGTGACTCTAAAGACATAAACTAACTCTGTACCAAGCCTAGCAGAGCTGGCTCAAGCGGAGGGATGTGGTTGTTTAGAAACAAGAAACGTCAATCAAGATCTTTCCTGCATTTCACAGATATAAATTTGCTCCAGTAAGCTGAGACTCAGAAACATGATGCAGAGCTGCACATCTGGTCCCTTGCACAGGCACAAGTACGGCCACAACTAAGAAGTAATACTGAGTCTTGACAGAACCACTCTGTTTTCTGAAGGCACTATAAAGACAGCAACACTCCAGGGGTAATGGGAAGAGGCAGAGGGAGGAAAAGTAACAGTTAGAAGGAAACTCGAAGAGCAGCTTCATATAACAGGGGAGAAAAAAGGTGGCTCAGTTCTATGATGGCTGTAACATCTGTAACAGCACAGAGACCCTGCACCTCTAGGCAAAGGAAGATTAACCAGAGTTTTGAAAAATCTACTCCTGAACAACAACAAAAAAAGCCAACCCAACTCCCATTTTTTAGTGGATGGGTGTAAAAATCTGTAAGTAAAATCAAAGGAGACGGCAAAGAATCAAAACACTATATAAAACCTTGGGGTCCATACGTACTCACATGGCATCATTAGCCTGTTTCTGATCTACCACAGTGTTAAAAGATCTGGACAGTCTCCTTTGCTCTTCACAGTGACTGAATCCCAGTGAACTGTCGTGTATTAAAACCCTTCGTGATCCGCCAGTGAGAACAAATCCCCCGCCCCAGCCTGTACGAGCTGTATGAGGGAGGGGGGTGTCTCCCGGACAAGAGATATTTCTAACAACCCCAGGCACCCTATAACAGGCAGTATGCTGCTCAGCTAGTTCTCCTAAGCAGCCCTGCACCAGGCAAATCTAGGCCTGCTAAGATGTTCTGCCCCTTGCGTGGACTTGAGGACAGTGTCTCATGAGCCCTTCAGGCCAGAGGCTCACGCTTTGCCGTTCCGTTATTGCTTTTCAAACACATTTTTCCTTCCTGTCTCCCCGCCTCGCTCCCCGTTATCCCAGAAGGACTTTCTGCATCCTGCGCGCCGCGACGCTGGCTTCATCCTCAGAGTCAGAGTCGCTCTGGGAAGTAGAGCTCTGGGAGGCAGAGCTGCAGGGAGAGGAGCATTCCGGGGAGCACAGGTAGTGCATCAGCGGGATGCGGTACTTCCCACAGAAGTCAACGAACTTGATTTGTCTGACGCAGCTGTCAAAGTAGACACCTGTAAGGGCAGAGGAACAACGCATGAGACCCTGCGTGGAGAAATTTGGGAGATCCGCAAGGTTGTTGCGGCTGGTGCAAATACCTCAAATTAGGATTTAATTGGCACAGCACCGGATATAGAAGGATAAGGGATACTGGAGGAAGGGAAGTTACCAGGACACCTACGGAAATGTGAAATTTCTTTTCTTAGTAAAAAAAAACAAAAAGAAGCAAACCCAAACAATTGTGTAAAACTGTATTTGGAAGGTCATTCAGAATAGCACACTCTACGTGAAAAGACACAGGGCAGCTACTTTCAAACAATTCGGCAATTTCTTCTAACTGTCAGGAAGAAAACTCGGGCTGGAAATTCGTAAATTCTTAAATGTCAAATTAATTAATGAGCTCTATTTTCAAACTTGTAAAACCTCCTCTATTAGCTAGCAAAAAATGTGTTCACAAATAGACCTTCACAGCTCTACTTTTCTTCCGCTTGAGTGAAGCCACCATGCTGAGTTTGGATGCTACTTTCCATGGCAACAGTGTTGCTCTAACACTCAATTAGGTTCTCTTCCTGCCACAGCAAGTGATTTTAGACGCTGACATTTTCAGAAGTTTCCAGCAGTGTTTTAAGTCCTGGCTGGTTTGGAGCAACTTTTTCTCCTGCAGTGCTAGAGCCACACTGCAGTGCTGTGCTAGTTCATAAGAAAAAGTGAAAAAGAGCAAAAGCAATCCACTGTTATCCAAGCTGTGCAAAACTAAAAAAGGAAACATTTCTTTGCAAGTTCCAGCCCTTTACCAACCATGCTTTGATATTGTCTTGTAAGGAGATAAGGTAACAGCCTGCATTATGACTGCAGGGTAGATACAAACTAATGATCTTTTTTTTTCCTTTATCTTACAAATGCTAAATGTGTAGATCATTTACTCTGTATAAAGATTAAGCCCTAAGCCAAATTAAGCCCAAGCATTGCAGGCTTTTCTATGAAACCCTCTCCTTCCAGGAACTACATGCTGCAGTCCCAAGTAAGAGCTACACAAGTCACTCTTGGGAACTGCCAAGCACTATAGCCTCGCTCCTCTTTTTCCATCCAGAAATGAAGCTCACTCTTCAGCAAGAGTGCTTGCAAGAGCTCTCCTCTCCATTACTTACTCTGACCTATTACAGGGCAGACAGATGGGACACTTCAGACCATAAAAGTGTTACTTGAGCGCTGGGATGAGGTGCAAAGGCTCTGAAAGAAACACTCTTTTAACTTCCCATGCAAATACAGTAAACCAGCACTACAACTATGAACGTAGTTCCCAAGCGAATACAATTCTTTAAAGACAAATTTGCAGGAGACCTGGAGCCCATGAAATACAGCTACACATCTAACCTGAGCGAGCTATCAAAGCTATGGCAAGTCAGAGGTAAAGAAAAGCCATGAGGTAAAAGCCGGCAGCAGAGCAGTGAAGGTGAACTTACCCCTGCATTTGGGGTTGGGACAGTTGGTGGCCAAGCTCAGATACCGGACAAGATTATCCGGGAGGTCGCTAGGAGTGTAATTTTAACTGTGCGCCCAGCCAGCTCCTGAAGGCTTGGGGGATTGTAGGTCAGGTCTCGGACAAACCGAACCACCAGTGGGTTCCCACGCAAGCTCAGCTCTTCCAGGTGAACCAGGTTAAGGATCTCTCGAGGAAGGTAAGTCAGCAGGTTATTGTGCAGGCTAAGGGAACGCAGGGAATGCAGCCTGAGGATGGAGATGGAAACCCAATCAAAATGTGCGAGCGAAATCATTCCACAATTGCATTACGCAGATCTGATTACTCTGGTCTCTCCCACCAATTTCTTTTTCTTTGGCTTTTCTTCTTTTTAAAGCAGAAATTCATGCTAAAAGAGCTGCTGTTACTCCAGGACACACAACGTCCCAGAAAACTTGGCTAACGTCTGGAGTGCCTGTTAAATACGATCTTAAATATGCTGCTGCCCCGCTCAGTATTCCCCATACACATATCCCAAAGAAGGTAGCCCAGAACAGAAGTGTACAAATCGAGTGCTTCTGGGGGAGATCATGTTTCCTTGTACCCACTGTATGCATCAAGAACGGTTCCATGCAATACTTTGAATGTCACCTGCTTTCACTCATGCATTAAAGTTTATTGCTGGTAGGCAGCCAGCCTGGAAAACACTTTTCATTGCCTATAGCTCCATCACCTTGGGCCGCGATACTATGAGATCTCAAAAGCTAGCCAAGGTCAGGCCAGGCAGCATCATCATGGGTGACAAGCAGATTTTTTGGCCATTGGAGGCGGTGTTCTCTCTCAGGAAGCACGAAGCAATGCTGCAGCACAGCATCTGGGATGCTCTCAAATCAGTACAAGACAACTGGACATTTTATATCAAAAATAATCTCACTAAACCACTAAATTTCAATGCAGGAAACTTTGTTCTGCCATTCAATTGCTTTTGGGGTTATACCTACAGACTGAATTCTTCACCTCCCATCTTACCCATAGAGAGTTTGCAGAGTCTCCTTTTCCCCATTATAAAACAGATACAGCACTAACTTATCCTCCAGAGCTACACTGCAGGATCTAAAGAACACTAAAACATGCTGAGATCCTAAAGCAAGAAATGCCAAGGGACCACAGGGGATGGTACAACACAAAAGCACACACAAAAAGGCTCTGGGTGCATGACAAAACAGGCCAAGCATTCATCACTAAGAATATGATATCATGGCAGTTTATCTTCTCTGAGTTGCCCAGATACTTCTTAGTACTCCCTGTAAAAATTTATTAACTCACCATAAAGTGTACACTTGGTGACATATTTTTTCCATAGCCCTTTGATTTGAGATTTCCATATTATATACCCATGGCCTGCCTGCAGTGTATCATGCTAAGGATCTTCTTGTTCAAGTTCAGTCATATTAACAAACTTAAGGACAAACTGGTCCTCGTGTGTGCTTTTATCCACACATGCAGAAGAAAAAGTTCAAAGAGTTAATTGCAGCTGGTGGCTGATGACAGTAAATACTCACTGTGCCAGCTGAGGTGGAATGCTCTGGATCTTGTTGTCACACAGAACTAGATAGCTCAGTGAAGGCAAGTTTGCCAGTTCAGGTGGAACTGAAGTGATGAAATTCCCTCCAAGGTATAGAAACTCTAAACTGAAAAAGAGAAGGGAACACACGGCATTATTTCATTAAGGTCATTTCCAGTTTCATTTAACACTAGGTCATCTCATCTCCTGTGTTTCTTAAAGAAAATTTACAGGTGACTACGTACAAAATAATTTGCTGAGGATGAAAAACAAAAAGAAAAGCCAAGTTGTACATCAAATTGACAACAGAGCTGCTGTTTCACAATCGACAATGCTGAGATTCACCTCCAGCCTCCTGCAGTCACTATTACACCTGTAGGTAGGCACCAGGCAGCTACGTATTCCTTTGCCAACCCCACAGGCAAAGCTCCTGTTCTAGTTTCCCAGCCAGAGCAGCCTGTGCACACAGGGTCTGCAGCACTGACTCAGCTCCTGCTGCAGCCACGGGGAGTTCCCAGTCTCAGTAGGAGCAAAGCAAAAGAGCAGCAGCTCTCCCTGAAAATCCGTGGTATCGTTTGACTTCTCCGTGACTAACCGCAACCTTTCAGCACGAGTCAGAGGCAGCCAGTTCCTCTTTGATACAATTCACGTATTGACAGCACCACAGCTGCAACAGCACAAGAGCATGTCTTAAGTCACACGAGTACAGGCATGCAATTTCTCAGGTAGATTCATTTCAGTATACTGAAGTCATGGAGCCCAAAGCTACCAAAACCCCTAGCAGGGCCTAACTGCAGTTTGGTTTTAAATAAAAGAAAAAAGGCATTGGACATACCACAAAAACTCAGTGGATGAGAGACAGGAGCAAAGAGAGGGAGCAGGCAGCATTTGCTGTACATCTCTGCCCTTCTAGGAAGAAAAATTGGTGTAATAGCTTTGACGTAATAGCTTTGAGTTCAAATTTCAGAGAGTCAAATAGTTTTCCCCCTGCTCTCAGATGCTGGCTGGAAGAGGAGCAAAGGCAGGTTCAGTTTGGGTACTTCTGGTGGGAAAAGACACCACTGCTAATCATGGTCCAGACAACACTTTTTCCCATGCCTGAAAAAAGCGAATCCCATGGTCCTGTCTGCAGGTGCTGGTTCAAGATCTCTGGTACACACTCAGGTCAGCTGCCTACAGTGTACATCAGCCCCCTCTGATCCACATCGTT